AGTTATGATAGTTCATTTACGATGTAAATACAATAAAAATTAAACCAAGATTTAGAATAATTATCATTTTGATCCATACATTGGTAATGTCTGACTGGGCCTCGTGTCACTTTATGTTCAACAAACTGGGCCCCGAGGTCAAAAAGGTTAAGAACCCCTGATCTGTCTGTGTCCCTGCAGGTGGACGGTCTTTGTCCCRGCTGACTCTGTGTCTGAGGATCCTCTCCACTGCCCACAGCCATGCCGGACGTGAAGCTCCCCCCACCATGTGACTACTCCTCCATCTCCTCAGCCACCCTCTCTGCCAGCTCTCCCACTGGCTGCAGCTCTCCCCTGGACCTCGGCACAGACATGGAGCCCTGCATCGCCAACCTCCCTCTGTCCCCAGACCCTTTGAACCCCTTCGCCCGACACAGACCCACCTTCCCTCATTACCCAGGCATCCAGGGCTCTCCTTACCCGCTGCTGGCCAGGTGCAACAGCAGCACCTTGCTCACTAACTTGGGGTTGAGGWATTGCTCCAGCAGGCAGGATCCTTTAGGAGGGGATCCAGTTCCTGGGCTGGCCCCAGGCTCCAACGCAGGGAGCAGCAGCAGCAGACCTTACAGGAGCATGGAGAACTTGAACTGGAACACTGTAGCAGATTCTGGCCTGTGCGGACTCAGCGCTGCTCCTTACAGGAGCTTGGACAGTGAGTTTATTTTACACTACACCTCCTCCAGCCACTGGTACGACGGGCCTCCAGACGGCTCTGTACTGGGAGCCCACGGGCTGGTCTCCAACCCTGAGGGTTTGTCGTTTTACCCTCGACACGGGTTGCCCAGGAAGTTACCTCAGTTGTTGTTCCCAGGTGGTGTTGATGAATGGGAAGCAAGGAAGGGCTTGAGGGACAAACTCCGCCTCCAGAGCGCAAGATCAGCTGTTGAGCCCGTGAGGCCGATCCCACTGCGACCTCAGGTGACCCCGAATGCTGCAGTCACAGAACGGGATCATGGGACTTCAGCAGGTGCTGGCTCCAGGCTGCAGTACACGACGCGTACATCTCCAGAGGACATCAAACAGGAAGTCTTAAGGCGTTTACAGCTCAGGCGACAGAACAGTAGCCCCAACTTGGCTGTCCACAGTTCTCCATCCAGACCAACGGTGGTCAAGACATCTTACACGACCGACAACATTTCAGGTAACAAAGGTGGAGCAGAGCCTGGATGTGAGCGCCGCAGACCTCCTGTGGGACGTCTCCACATTCCAACGTTTGAGGAGTTTAAGAAGATGAGGCAGAGGGAGGAAAAGCAGAGTGTGGAGTCCACAGCAGGTGATGTGGTTTCTGTGAAACGTGGTGCATCACAAGACGACGTCTGTGATGAGACGAAGCTTCATAAAGGACTGGGCCAAGAGCAGAGAGGAAATCCTGAGGAGATGGAGGGAGTCAGGAGTACAGGTGAAGATGAAGCCCAGACCATCACCTCATCAGAGACTCTGGCTTTGAACACTGTGACCAGCAACTGCACGGCTGCTCCCTCCTCTTCCGTTGATTCGGTCACCAGCACATACTCCCCCATTCGCACCGGCCCGGCTCCACGCGCACCCCTTCAGCCTCAGGCCAGCTCAGCCCAGGAGAAATCCACCAACGCAGGAGGAGACGATGGGTTCACCAAGCGAAGGAGGAGCAGTCTGGAACCAGCCGGGTCGGGTCCCTTCCTGCCCAGCAGAGAGAACTGGGTGCGTCCCTCCAGCTGCTGCCCAGCACTCCTTCTGGAGGGAACGGACCTGTCCAGGTACGGAGCCAAGATCTATAAGATGAAGGATGGGCTCATCGGTTCAGCTCTGGACCTCATCAAGAAGAGGTGAGTCAAGAAGCCAGGGCTGGAAGAGAATAAAGTGTTCAGTACAAGCTTGTTATTATTGGCAGAAGTATTTAACTCTRTTTAGTTTAGTAAGACTGAAGAAACAGCTTTAAAGGATTGGATCGACTTGTACCATTATACAGTAAATTAGTGTACTATTTTACTGTAGGACAACAATAGCTGCATTTCCATTGACCATAAAAATGTGCAAATTAGAATTTCGAAAAAAAAAAATTCTCAATGGAAACATGTCAATTTTGAAAAAAAAAATTACGTTTTTCGACAAAATGTTTTTGCACTAGGATGAGGTGGTTTTTCGGCCGTATCGAAATTGATGTTTTTCGCAAAACTGCAATGGAAACGCTTTTTTGCATCACGGGAGTCACGTGATCAACAACCGTCTGTTTCTACTGGTGAAAAAGACGATGATGAAGAAGATAACAGGAAGTAGAAGTAGTAGTAATATCACAGAAGTAGTATAAAATAGTAAAC